GAAAGACATACCGGAGCACCTCAAAGACGAACTGATAAACTTCCTCAAAGAACATAAGGACGTGTTTGCATGGAGCCACGACGACATGACAGGTATTGATCCTAATATCATAACTCACAGGTTAAATGTCAGCCCGTTACACAAACCCGTCAGACAAAAAAGAAGACGCTTTGCAAAAGAGAGGAATGCCATTATAAACCAGGAAGTTGATACGCTGCTTCGAACCGGCAAGGTAAAGGAGGTAAAGTATCCCGATTGGTTAGCTAATGTTGTTGTTGTTCAGAAAAAGAAAGGGCAGGAAGAAGGCAAACCCGTCAAATGGAGAGTCTGTGTGGACTTCACTGACCTGAACAAAGCGTGTCCCAAAGATTCATTTCCAATGCCACACATTGACGCTTTGGCTGACGCTACGGCAGGGCATGAAATGTTATCCTTCATGGACGCATTCAGTGGATACCATCAAATACAGCTTCACCCCAATGACCAAGAAAGCACAGCCTTCATCACTGAAACAGGTACGTATTGTTATATTGTTATGCCCTTTGGACTAAAAAATGCAGGCGCGACGTTTCAGAGACTAGTCACCTTAATGTTCAAAGATCTAATGGGGGATACCATGGAAGTTTATATCGATGACATGATCGTCAAATCAAAGAAAAAAGAGGATCATATTTATCATCTGACGGAACCCTTCAGAAGACTGAAAAAGTACAATTTGAAGATCAATCCAGCGAAATGTACTTTTGGAGTGACGTCAGGAGAATTTTTAGGATATATCGTCAGTGAACGAGGAATAGAGGCAAGCCCGGAACAAATACGAGCACTTATTGACATTGAACCTCCAAAATCCGTCAAAGATATCCAGAGATTGACAGGACGAATTGCGGCTTTAAATCGTTTCATCTCAAAATCATCAGACAAGTGTCATTTGTTTTATGACGTCTTGAGAAAAAACAAAAAATTCGAATGGACAGACCGACACGAACAGGCGCTTCAACAATTAAAAGAGTATATGATGTCTCCGCCATTGCTCGCAAAACCTAAAAATGACGAAGAGCTACAACTTTATCTGGCCGTTTCAGAACACGCCGTCAGCGCAGTACTGACAAAAGAGGAGCAGGGGCAGCAAACTCCCGTCTATTACGTAAGTAAATCCCTAAATGGCCCGGAATCCAGGTATGCTTTACTTGAAAAGTTAGTTTTAGCTTTGATCGTTGCTTCAATTAAATTACGTCCTTATTTTGAATCACATACCATTTGTGTTAGAACTAACTATCCCATGAAGTCAATCATGAGGAAACCAGAATTGACAGGTCGCATGGCTAAATGGTCAATTCAACTTGGAGCTTATGACATAAGATTCGAACCGAGAACAACCTTGAAATCACAGTCACTTGCAGATTTTGTGGCAGACTTCAGTCCAAAGCTCCAAGAGGAAGCAGAAAAAGAGATTTGCACTCTGATCGATGGATTCCCAAAGCAAAAATGGACATTGCACACTGACGGAGCATCAAACCAAAACGGCGCAGGTCTGGGCGTGATACTGAAGTCACCACAAGGGGACACCATGCTCCAAGCAGTACACTGCGATTTCACCGCTACGAACAACGAGGCAGAATAAGAGGCGCTAATCGTCGGACTCACATTGGCAAGGGACTTGGGCGTCAAAATCTTGGAGGTAAAATGTGATTCTTTACTGATAATTAATCAAACTAACAGTGTGTATGCAGCAAAGGACCCCAAGATGACATCTTATTTGCAAATTGTCCGAGAATTGATAACGGCATTCGACGAAATAACCCTTGAACAAATCCCACGAGAAGAAAACACACAAGCTGACGCTCTGGCCGCCGTCGGATCATGTCTAGGGGCAGAAGTCAATCGCAACATCCCTTATGTGCACCTGATGAGCCCAGCAATTTACAAATCAGAGGTTGCCTCTACCATCAAAATCCCGGCACAAGACGACTGGACACAACAATACATAGCGTACTTAAAGCACAATACTCTCCCAGAGGACAGGAAAGAGGCCAAGGCTTTCCTATCTAAGGCAAGTAAGTTTTTACTGATTGATGATGTGCTATTTAAAAGATCTGTCGCAGGTCCACTCCAAAGATGTCTGACACCGCAAGAAGCCGCCAAAGTATTGAAAAACCTTCATGAGGGGGAATGCGGCAATCACGCAGCAAGGCGAAGTCTGTCTAACAAAGCTCTTAGATTCGGTTATTACTGGCCGACCATGAGAGAGGATGCAACCACCTTCACCCAAAGATGCAAGCCTTGTTAGATGCATGGACCAATTCGTCATCAGCCCTCTGAGACGCTTCATCCAGTTCTATCACCATGGCCCTTTATGAAGTGGGGCATGGATATTGTAGGAAAATTGCCAGAGGCACCGGGGCAGAAAGTATATATGCTAGCAATGACGGACTACTTTTCAAAATGGGTGGAGGCTGAGCCTTTTCGGCAGATACGAGATGACCAGGTGATTTCGTTTATTAAGAGGAATATCCTTTGCAGATTCGGCGTCCCTTCAGAAATCGTTTGTGACAACGGATCTCAATTCATAAGCGCTAAAACCAGACGCTTTTGTGAGAAATACAATATCAAATTGGAAACGTTGACACCTAGGTACCCGCAGTCTAATGGGCAGGCCGAGTCTAGCAACACGATTATCATTGCCAACTTAAAGAAAAGGCTTGAAAAGGCGCAAGGCCGATGGGCTGACGAATTGACCTTAATACTCTGGGCAGACAGGACAACTCCGAAAAATGCAACCGGACAAACCCCATTCTCTCTGGTGCATGGCTGCGAAGCGGTCATTCCTGCTGAGATTGAAATACCTTCTTCGAGGTATGGACTCATGACTGGGGAATCGAACAATGTGGAGTTGGTGCACGACTTGGATACCATTGACGAAATCCGTGAACGAGCCAAGATCCGCTTGCAGACATATCAACAAATGGTGGCAAAAAGCTATAATAAAAATGTTCGGGCAAAGGTGTTTCAAAAGAGTGATTGGGTCTTGAGGAGAGCATTTGGCAATGAAGCAGCCGGAAAATTTAGTCCTAATTGGGAAGGACCTTACAAAATCATTGACGTCATCGGTCAGGGGGCATACTGCCTGGAATCAATCGATGGTAAACGAGTCCCTCGAAGTTGGAATGCGGTACATTTAAAGCGTTTCCATTTTTAACAAAAGTTTTTTTTCTTTTCTGCATTTCTATCCCTCTTACTAAATGACTAACTTGGCCGTCAGAGGGCCGTTGGCTTAAGGCCAACGACCAATCCTGACGATAATTGTAAATACAGGAAGGCACACAAAAATGACCAGGTCACAGGTAATTAGTTACAGTTCATGTAATCTTGAATATAGTAAATACAATTCATCATTCACTAACTTGACCGTCGGAGGGCCGTTGGCCCCAAACCAACGGCCGAACCCAACGGAACGGTATCATCGCAGGACTATGACAGGTTAAGATCAAAATACCAGGGCAACAGATAGAACGTCAGATCTGCTCATGACGAAACATCAACATACAGGGGACATGGGACTCATTATGAAAAAACCATGAATGGAGTTCCATGAAACCGAATAAGTTTTGGCCAAAACACAAAACACATATATATTCCTCTACGCACACATGGCAGGTTACATACGTAAACGACATATATAACAACACACACGTCAACATAAACGTAAGTCAGGTGACCAAAAGGAGTAGCAACGGAATCACCAAACAACATGGATTTGGCTTGGATAAACCACCAAGCACAATATCCATAAATCCACAGGAAAATATTAAAATTTCTAACAGGAAACCATGATGCAGGGGCAGTAATAGCAGAGTGAGTCTTGGAAGCAAAAACAAATGTCTAAAGACGAGAAAGTAAAGGGGAAAGGGTGCAGTCAGTTATCTCAGGAGCGTCTGGATTCAACCTCGTTATCAGACTGGCCTACGTCAAAACCATCTTCCCCAATCGGGGGATCCATCTCATCTTGAAGCTTTAACCAGGTAGCAACGTCCTGTTCCGCAGTCCAGTTTGACGTCTCGCCTGCGAGGAATGAAGTCATCAGTTCACCCCTGGTTTTCCAAGCATAAAAACAGGCCGCGTCAGTAACCTCTTGTTTCTTTTTCCTCCCATACGCCTCCAACGACTTAATACGGGTTTTTAAAGTTGAAATTTGAGTTGTTAAAATCGAATTGTCACTACGGAGACTTTGGATCGTTCGAGCATCAACGTCAGCACGAGCGTGAAAACTTTTCTCCTTTCTTTTTAATTCGTCCACAGCCTTTTCCAGCAGAACCAACCTTTCTGCAGCAACAAGGCTAGCTTGAACACTCTGCCGGATCAAAACAAATTTCTCTCGTCAAAAGAAGGATTAAATTTCTACGGGTACCGAGCATTTACAAAATGATGAGATACCCGGAAAGCAAAAGCCGAGGAAGCCAATGCCAGGCCAGCTGAGGACACATCCTTGAATACAACAAATGAGGAGGAGAGCAGGACTTGAGGCATTTCACTTCCCATCACAAGAGCATCCTTCAAACAGCAAAAGTCACGAGAGAAATAAGCATTCATCTTCCCACCAGAGTCAGGATTGGTGGCAGCACTCACTGGACGAGGAGGAGCAGATTTCATCTCTGTATTTGGGCATTGTGGAGTTTTGGAACAACCAGAGGCCAACTTAGATGGGATTTTCTTCTTTCTTGAAACCATGTTAAGAAGGTCGTAATCAGAAGGCATCGGCCGTGTGTTAGACGAAGAAACAGCTGTGACAAGGGAAAATATATAAACATTCTAAATAAAGCAACATTTGACGAATAATTGAACTAGCAGGAACAAGTACCAGCGTGTTGTGCAGAGCGTTTTGCTGGAAGAAAACAGGAGTCCTGACCACCGGGAAACACCATCTGAAGAGGAACAAAAGCACTTGCATTTTCACCTCCACCCCTCGAAGTTTCTGATTCATGGTCTGAATCATCTACAGAGACCGCGCGTGAATCTTGGGCATCGTCAGGGACGTTCTGAATATTACGGCGAGAGCGCCTTAATCCAACGGACCGAGAATGGTCAGGAGTGGGAGACATACCTTCATTATCAACCACTAGATTCCCAAAGGTCCGTTCGGCAGTAGTTAAAGATAAAATTTTGACAGTCCTTCCTTCAGAGTCTGGACCATAGCTCAAGGGGATAGTCTTCCTATCTTTTTGCAGATCAACAACAGTGAAAACGGTAATTTTGACGTATTGCAGATCAGCCATATAGCAACTAAATACATTTGAAATTCATATGTAAAACAAGGAGTTGTCAAGATACCTTTGTGTAAACTCTCTTCAAGAAATGCGCCCTCAGAACCTAGGGAATCTTTTTGCACAAAGAAGAACTGGCTCATCCAGCCACGATCATTAGCTTTGTCCGCCCTCAATATCAGCGCCTCGCGAGCATCTTTGACAGCCAGGGTAAACCGACCAGCTCCAGAAGAACGAAGATCATAGGTAAGGCCCAGATCTTCGAAGGAGAAGGGGATGCTGCGTTTTTCGCTTAATACTTCTAAACCACGTAGAACCCTCCATACTTGTGGCATTACTTGGGAAGGGGAAACCTTGACAAAGGCTAAGAAATCTCTAACTAGGGAAGAAAAAGGGAATTTCATACCAATCTTGAAGGGATACATGAAGAAGTTGACCCAACCATCACAATGCCAATCAACCCGTTCGTTAGCGGCCGGAAACCGGATGGATGCATGCGCTGGATATCCGGAACCATTCTTGATAGCTTCGATATGATTCTCCGAGAGTTTAACCTGTTTTGCATTCTTCGGATCAAGGATGTGTTGAGGGATGAACTGTTGAGACGCCATAGATTCTCACGATGAATCTCTGCAAGAATCGAACGAAAGGTCTTTCACAAAAGAAGAGTTATGACTGAAAAGAGGCTAGTCTGACAGAGGGTTGGTTACTCGAGGAAAGAGGCTGACGGTTTTGTCCATTTCCAGGTAGCATCAAAACGTTTAAAATTCAAAGAAGTAACCGACTGGTTGGATTAAGTTGGTAACGATTACTACTTCAAATTTTAGGGGCAGTTGTTGGGCCCGGATCTGTCAAGCGAATCGGCCCATTAAATTGGGTTTGAGTTTATTGGACGGATCAGCCCACGTGACCTTAAGGAATCTACAGAATCCGGCTTGGTCAAACAGTATGACGAAGTGGATAAGAACGCCTAAGAAGTTGAGGAGAAAATGGAGGAACGGATCCCGATTTAGTAGGGGAAGGCTACCATTTCGCCGGGCAGTTCGTCCACATGGGGGAGGAGGTTGGAAATTCTATTTTAAATAGGCTGGCGGTAGAAGAGAAGAGAGACCTGCTTAATTATCTATGCACTTGTAATACCACTCTTTGAATCATACATCCAGATTCATATATTTCATTCATTAATTTTCAGTTTTTACATTTTGTTTCTTGTACGATCCCTACATACATATAATTTTAGATTAGTTTAATTCTTGCTTAAACATGGCTCAGAGGGCTACAAATGAGTTCTACTTCATCAAATAAAGATGACAGAACGACATATGGCCGATGGGCCTGTAGATGAGCTCTACGTCATCAAATAAAGATGACAAAGCGAGATATGGCCGATGGGCCTATAAATGAGCTTCACGTCATCAAATAAAGATGACGAAGCGATATATGGCCGATGGACCTGTAGATGAGCTCTTCGTCATCAAATAAAGATGACAGAGCGATATATGGCCGATGGGCCTGTAGATGAGCTCTTCGTCATCAAATAAAGATGACCGAGCAATATATGGCTGAACTCTGGGCTCCTTTAGCCTTTCAGCCGGAGACCGCAAGATGTTCGCTATATCTGAATAGGGGGATGAGGCGGTGGACGCCTGTCTGAATATGAGGACGACGACGCTGATGAGTCGGTCCGAAAATGAGGACGACAGCGCTGACGAGCCGGTCCGAATATGAGGACGAAGGCGCTGGTGAGCCGGTACGAATATGAGGACGAGGCAATGATAAGCCGTGCGTCATATGAAGGCGACGGTCACCATCTAGGAAGGGAATGACGAGCCTGGTCCCTAGATAAGGACTTCGGCGCTGGGGCCGGTCTAAATGTGAGGACGAGACGATGATAAGCCGTGCGTCATATAGGGGCGACGGTCGCTGTCCGGGAAGGGAGGGCGAGCCCAATCACTATAACAAGACTTCGGCGCTGGGAGCCGATCTTGAGATAAATAATCACGTCGAGGCCGAGAGGCTGATCGCGATGTGCGGACGGCAATGATGAGGAGCCAGTCCGAAATATGATGACGAGGCGATGATGAAGCCGATCGTCATATAGAGGCGATAGTCACCATCCAGGAGGGGATGGCGAGCCTGATCGCTAGCCCAACACACTCGGCACTGATGAAGCCGGTGTTGGGATAGGGCGTCACGTCATGGCCGAGGGGCCGGTCGTGATGTGAGGACGATGGCGATGAGGAGCCGGTCCTGTAATATGATGACGGGGCGATGATGAGCCGGCCGTCATATACAAGCGATGGTCACCATCCAGGAAGGGATGGCGAGCCCGATCGCTGGCTCAAGACTCTCGGCGCTGAGGAAGCCGGTCTTGAGATAAATAATCACGACGAGGCCGAGGGACCGGTCGTGATGTGCGGATGGCGATGAGGAGGAGACAATCCGAAATATGATGACGGGGCGATGATGAGCCGACCGTCATATAGAGGCGATGGTCACCATCCAGGAAGGGATGGCGAGCCCAATCGCTAGCTCAAGACTCTCGGCGCTGGGGAAGCCGGTCTTGAGATAGATAATCACGACGAGGCCGAGGGGCCGGTCGTGATGTGCGGATGGCGATGAGTAGGAGCCAATCCAAAATATGATGACGGGGCGATGATGAGCCGACCGTCATATAGAGGCGATGGTCACCATCCAGGAAGGGATAGCGAGCTCAATCGCTAGCTCAAGACTCTCGGCGCTGGGGAAGCCGGTCTTGAGATAGATAATCACGACGAGGCCGAGGGGCCGGTCGTGATGTGCAGATGGCGATGAGGAGGAGCCAATCCAAAATATGATGACGGGGCGATGATGAGCCGGCCGTCATATAGAGGCGATGGTCACCATCTAGGAAGGGATGGCGAGCCTAATCGCTAGCTCAAGACTCTCGGCGTTGGGGAAGCCGGTCTTGAGATAGATAATCACAACGAGGCCGAGGGGCCGGTCATGATGTGCGGATGGCGATGACTAGGAGCCAATCCAAAATATGATGACGGAGCATTGATGAGCCGGCCGTCATATAGAGGTGATGGTCACCATCCAGGAAGGGATGACGAGCCCGATCGCTAGCTTAAGACTCTCGGCACTGAGGAAGCCGGTCTTGAGATAGAAAATCACGCCGAGGCCGAAAGGCCGGTCGTGATATGAGGACGAAAGGCACTGAGGGGCCGGTCCGAGAATCCATGCAACGGTCGCCATCCGGTAAGGGATGGCTAAGACCGGTCTTAAGATAGAGCATCACGCCATAGCCGAGGGGCTGGTCGTGATGTGAGGATGACGACGATGAGGAGCCGGTCCTACAATCCATGCAACGGTCGCCATCCGGTAAAGGATTGGCTAAGACCGGTCTTGATAGAGCATCACGCCATAGCTGAGGGGCTGGTCGTGATGTGAGGACGACGGCGATGAGGAGGAGCCAATCCGAAATATGATGATGTGGCGATGATGGGCCGATTGTCATATAAAGGCAACGGTCACCATCCAGGAAGGGATGGTGAGCCCGATCGCTAGCTCAAGACTCTCGGCGCTGAGGAGGCCGGTCTTGAGATAAATAATCATGCCGGACTGGACATGAAGGACGGCGGAGCCAATCCGATGATGGACTAGGCTTGGACGCTCGTCTGATATGTATAGTATTTGTCTGATATGTACTTAGTCAAATTTTGGGGATTTTATTTTTTATCGCTCGAGGCCGGCGAGTGCGCGGTCCTCGGCTTCCCTCTTTTGATTTGTGGGGATATCGCTTTAGGCCGACAAATGCGCGGTCCTTCGGCTATCTCTCTTTTATATTCTTCATCTTTACATCTGTGAGCGAGGAGTGGGTATCCTTCTTTCAGGCTTCGGCCGAGGGGGTCGATAGTCCTTTGGCCGGTAAGTAGTCCTACTGGATCGTCCTATGGTCTCAGGGAGGTCCCGTCGCCTATTTATGACGCGGGCTAAGGCTTTTGGTCGGTTACCGACGACTGCCGTTTCTCATCCCTGAGTTTGGGGATTTTTGTCACCTTGGCCATGATTTCAGATTTGTTATATCAATATGAAATAAAAGTGGGCTCCCTTAGATTTGTCACCAAATGATAGATTATTTATCTAGAGAGAAGGGAGAGCTAGAGAGATTAAGTGATATATATAAATGAATTTCTCTCCCTTTACATGGCTCCCTTAGAGAGTATTTATAGGAGAGAAAAGTGGGCTGGGCTTCCAGGCTTGGGCCTGGAAGGCCCAATTACAATAAAAGGCCAATAAATGGCTAACAAATGGTATTTAATCTATTCTAATGGGTACAAGTGAATAAATATAGTGTACAATGAGATAAATGTTATCTACTGAGCGTATGTGGGCTGCTGTCCGGGTCCAATAATCGTGAGACCCGGGGGTCCGAGTCTATATACTCTATCACAAACCAACACCATAATCTCAAAAATTAAAAATAAAAAAATTATATGACTCCAATCCCCTCTGTTTAACAATTGAAAATCACAAAAAAGTACTTCTTCGTTCATAGCAAACGATAGCTTTGAAAAACCAAATGCGCCTATATGTTAACATCGTTTTTTTTCAAAATCAACCCAAAATACACACATGCATTGCAAAATCCGTCCAATCGTTAACCAATATACCCACTTAGCTTTGAAATAACTTCACATTAACTTCATGTACCAAGGAGACGACATACCTTCTTGATTATTAGAACCCAGATTCATCATTTCGAACTCTTCTTGCACAGAACTCATTGTCGCCGTTCACTAGTATTTCTTCTCTTTGCAACTTTCTTCAATTTGGGTACTTATGGCGACGGCGGAAAGTTAAATTTTTATGGTCGATTATCAATTTGGGTAGTTACCATATAGGAGCCTCTTTATTTTTGTCAGGTTTGTGATGAATGGAAGCTTGCGTGATTAAGGCGAATTTTTCGGGAAGTGGAGAATAGAAAACGGTGCCCCATGAAGACACACCGTATTTACGATCTGATTTGACATTTTTAACCTTAATTGAGCGCACGTTTGCACAAAAAAGCTTTTAGTTTCCGTTTATGTGTGGCGCGGTGCACAACAGGAGTGTGGACCAGTGGCGTTAATCACCGTCCGTTTTATGAGATAAGAAGCCACGATTTGTTCTCACGTTCTCACGTTAAGGGTTGTTC